TTTCAGCACAATTATTGCATAGAGCAAACTCTTTAATATTATTTTCACTAAATCTTATAAATTCATTAACTAATTTAAATTTTTTGCAGTGAGAACACCACTTAGTTTTATTGTTAGAATTATGAGTAAAAATGTTAGAAGCAGAATCATTAGGATTGTGAGTAGGAATGTTAGAAGTAGGATCATTAGGATTGTGGGTTGAAATGTTAGAAATTGGATCATTAGGGTCAGGAGTTAGAATGTTAGAAGTAGACATTTTCAATTTAGAAAAACAAACACTTTAGAGATTTTATATAAAGAGAATTTTTATTGAAGGTGATTTATAGAAATTCATGTATATTATAACTAGACAAACTTTTGAGTCGATATGGCATTATTTATATATATTAAGTGCAATGACAAGTTTAATAAATTTTAAAGTGATACTTTATTTTTTCAATAAATGATAAATTAATTTAAATTTTACAAGTTTTCACTTTTGTATAAACTGATTAATTTATATATGAGCACGACAATATTAAAATTTATACAAATTTTTGTCTTTAATGTAATGATACAAATTGAAAATCGAATTAATCAATTAGTTGGTTAGTTGGCAACTAATCGATTAGTTGCAACTAATCAACTAAAGAATTAATTGATTAGTTGCAAAGAATCGATTGAAAAATTATTTATTTACTTAATGAATTAGTTGCAACTAATCGATTAATCAATTAATTGACCAGTTGCAACTAATCGATTAGTTGCAATTAACTGAAAAATAATTAACCAACTAATCGATTAAAAAATTTTGGTAATTTGTAACACTACTTTAGTGTTATTAATCGTTATAAGCATTAAATTATCTGCTAAATACAGGATTTTAATTTTTCAATATATTATCATATATCAATTTATTAATATACATCATTCTTGAATGTTGAATCTATTAACAGTTAATATAATTTATTACGTGTTATTATAATTTATTATTAACAGTTAATATAATTTATCATAAGTTAATAAGTTAATATATTGATATAGTTTTTGTATATCATATAATTTTAGATTATGTCAAAGAGATCGAAAGAGATTGCTGATTACATATTCTCGACATTTTTTGCCATAACTAACCCAATTTATTTTTTCATAACAAGTATCTTCAACAAGACAGTCATCACTACAAAAAAATTATTTTTCTACTTTTCATACTAAAAACTTTTATAACAAATAAAAGACATTCAGAAGTTAATATTTAAAGAATAAACACATACTATCTTCTAGCATTTAGTTATATTACAATGAATATAACTATTTCATCTATTTTTTATTCACCCAGTAAAAGGATGCAAATTCAGCAAAGACCCAAAACCAGAGGGTTTTGAACAAATGTTTTCCTATATTTAATAGATGAGAAAGGTTATAATTCTTTTTAAAGATACTTTCATATTACTCATATAACTTTTTATGCCATTGTTTCTTGTTTAGAAATGCATCCAGCTTTTGTATCAAATGTTATAAATGTAATACCTGTATGGAAGCAAATCATAATTGTATTGTGGTGATTAGCAAATAGTACAAGAATACAAGTATTAGAACAGACACTTGGAGTAAGCCAAGAGTTTGTAAGCTATTTTACTAACCAATTTCTGAAAGCATTATTAGACTTGAAGCAAGAA